GCCAGCCCCATGGCCAAGTGGTTAAGTTCACGCACTCTGCTTGAGCGGCCCAAGGTTTCACCTGTTCGAATCCTGGGCACAGACATGGCACCACTCATCAAGCCATGCTGAGGCAGCGTCCCACATGCCACAACTAGAAGGACCCACAACTAAAACACAGAACTATGTACCTGGGGGGCTTTGGGGAGAAAAAGGAAAAAAATATATATATTAAATACACACACACACAAACTTCTTATTTTTCAGAGGACAAATCTGATTTAAATGCACAAGTCCTTTAATCCAGCAATTCGCAATTCCACTTTAAGATTCTATACTACAGAAATATTCATGCTAGTATATAAAGTCACATGCATATGATGTTTACTAGTGTTATGTGTAACAGCCAAGTAAAAATAAAAGCAACTTAAAGTCCAGCAAAAGAGGAAAGGTTAAGCAAACTGCAGAGATTTATACAACAGAATGTTTAAAAGGAATGAGGTGGATTCAAATGGGCTGACATAGATAACACCTATAAAATGATGTTTGCTTACAAATATTTTTGTTTGTCTTGTCTGTATAATAGGCTTGGGAGCCAGACGGCCTAAATTCAGCTGTCTGTTCTATCACTTTCTAACTCTTCCTTACAGACAAATTCGTTAACCTCTATAAACTTTAGTTTCTCATCTTTAAGTGGGGATAATTATAGAACCTCCTCGGAGTGTTACCATAACAATTAATCAAGTAAAACATGACAAGCATTAAGTGCTCAATTAAGTGTGCGGTATTACTTCCCATTATGCAAAGTTTTGTTTTGTTGTTGTTGTTAAAGGAGTTAAATCTATCAATCTTTTCCTTCATGACTTACTGATTTTAGCTTCCCTACTGGAAATAATTCTAATACAAAACTTACTTCCTCAGATAGATAGCCAATTCTTACCATTTATTAAACAATCCATGCTCTTGTCACTAATTTGAAAGGCCACTTTTTTCCTTTCTTTTATTTTCCAAAGAAGTGGGTCAGTTAACATTTATTTATTTATTTATTTAATTTTTTTTTAAGGTATGCTTTTTTTGGTGAGGAAGATTGGCCCTGAGCTAACATCTGTTGCAAATCGTCTTTTTTTTTTCTCCCCAAAGCCCCAGTACATAGCTGTATATCCTAGTTGTAAGTCATTCTAGTTCTTCTATGTGGGATGCCACCACAGCATGGCTTGATGAGCAGTGTGTAGGTCCACACCCAGGATGCTGAAGCAGAGCATGCGAACTTAACCACTCGGCCATGGTGCCAGACCTCAGAAAGGCCACTTTTATCAAAAGCAAAATTCCTACACATATAGAGGTCCATTTCTGACCTCTAAACCAGGGATTAGCAAACATTTTAGGTCAAGGGTCAGTCAGTAAATATCACAACCAGTCAACTCTGCCTCATAGCACAAAAGCAGTCATGGACGATGCGTAAATGAATGAGCCTAGCTGTGTTCCAATTTGAAATTCATATAATTTCCACGTCACAAAGTATTCTTCTTTTGGTTTTTCTTCAAGCACTTAAAAATATAAAAGCCACTCTTAGGTCACATGTCATACTAAAACAGGTGGCCAGCCAGATTTGGCAACCTGTACTCTAAACCATGATATTTTTTTACACTCCTAAAATTGTTTTATATTTCTAAAATTCCATAAAATAAATACATGTGATAAAAAGGTTAAACATGACATAAGGGCATACAGTGAAAGCTCGCCATTCTATCCCAGAGGCCCAGTTCCCCTTTCCAGTTTTTGTGTATCCTTCCAAATCTACTGCCACTATTAAACCTCTCAGCATAAATAGTCTTATATATACATTACTTTCCACATAAGTTATTTCATCTATAAGATAAATCCCTGGAAATGGAACCAATTTCCTTGAAGGATTCATTCCAACATGTAATTAGCCAGTATCTACAGCTTCTCCCTTGCTCAGGATAAGCATTCCAAAAGGCCTTTACCTATTTCCTACCTTCCCAATCAACTCTAAAATCCTGTTAAATATCTGTTTCAGATTATAGACTTCAAAACTATACCTACTCTGGTTTATGAATCCTTCCTTGGCACTGCATTAAATTTTTTAGCTATAGTTATCAATGTCTTGGAGTTAAGAAATAAGTTTTACTGTTTTCTTTGATCACCGTTTCTTGAATTCTAAGTCTATTTTTCTTGGACTGATTTCTCATTTGATATCCTGGGGTAATCCTAGTGGGTATGGGTGAGAAGGACTTTATTTTGTCCCCTCTTTGAGACAGTTTGGTTAGGGATAAGATTCTGAGTCCAACGATGTCCCATGAGCACTTTTCAAACATGGCTCCACTATTATCTCACATGCCATGTCCCAGATTAGAAGTCTAATTGCAAATCTGATTTCCACTCTTTTATAGGTAACCATATGTTTCTCTTTGGAAGCTTATAAGACTGTATATTTATCCCAGAAGTTCATAAATTTCATCAGAGTGTATCTAGGTGTGTCTATCAATATTCTTTTAAGACTTTCAGTATGTCTATTCCATATATAAACTTACATACTTTCACTCAGAGAAACTTCCTCGCTTTCTTCCTTGGCTCTCCTGACACAGTATTTTCTTTCCATTCTACTGTAAGGTAGGAATGGGAAATCTGGCATCTACTGTGAGTTGCATGGGGAGGAGAACAGGCCACAGTAGCAGTTAGCCAGAAATCCTAAGTCTGTGCCACATCTTTTCACAAGTTTTCTGAAAAGGTATACTTTCTGATCATCTCCATCACAAAGATGAAGAATCAGAGACCAGAGAGAAAAAGAGTTGATTTTTATTTGCCAGTACTTTCTCTCCTAACTGACACATCTTTCGTTTGGCTCTGACCGCCCAAGACTCTGCCTGGATACTCCTACCCTCATGATCTCTGTTATCTATGTGGTTATTTCTCCTCTTCCAATTTTTATTCCTTCCTGGAACTCCTATTAGATGTACTTTGGCTCTTCTGGATCTATTTTCCATGTTATGGCTGGTTTTTCCTACTTTCTATGTTTTAATATTCAAGAATTGATTGTTTTCTTTCAGGGCAGCCTGTATGTGTTCAATAGGCTATTGATACACTCTGAAATCTGAGCATACTAATATTTATTTTAAAGTTTTCTTCTGTTTCTTACATTAACTCCATTGTTTCAGGTCTAGTTCTTATATGTTGTTCAGTCTGGGGCATCTCTTACATGCTGCTGACTTACCACACATGTTTAGTAATTTTTGTTATCTGTTCCCTTTATAAACATATCAGTATCTAAGTACACATGGAAATCACTGTACTCCTGTAATAAAATCACATTTGTAACTAACTGTATAATTCAATTTTACATTTATGCCTAGTTCTTGTGTAGCATGACAACAACAATGTAAGTTCTTTGGCTTGCAATCTAATGATTCTTCAATCCATTTTTAGTCATATGCTTTCCGTGTTTCGTTTCCCCTAACAACCACTAACTTGAGTAACACAGTTCTTACCTAAGTGTTATACAACAAGCTTCAGGGACAGATCACCACCAGCTCCATCTAACAGACTTGTCTAAGAGACAGTTAAACAAGTAACGACAGTCTGGAAGAAGACTGTCATAGATGTGCAATCCAAGGAGTAAATAATATTATGGTAACGAATCACTTAAGTCTTGAAATCCTAATAGTTATGCTTTTTACCAATTTTTAATATTACAGAACTTAAAATAACAAATTCTACGAGGAAAAAAAAGAGGAAGGCTCCATTTTGGTTAAAACGTAATTTTCAACCTACCATATGATTCAGCCATCCCACAGCTGACAGAAATGCATACAGATATTCACCAAGACATTTCCAAGAATGCTCATAGCATTCTTCAAAATACATAACATACAAAAGTTGGAAACACAAATACCCATCAACACAAGAGTAGCCATATAATCATACAATTGAATACCACACAGCAATAAACAATGAACTACTGATACATGAAACATCATAGGTGAATCTCACAAGCAATGTGCTGAGCATTGTGTATGAGTCCATGAACATCAAGACCAAAATACACAAAACTAATAGATGATGACAGAAATCAGAATGCTGATGGGGGGACAGGGGAATAACTGACTTGGAAGAAGCAAGGGGGAAATCCTGGGAGGGTGGAAATGTTCCATAGGTATAACTTGATTTAGCTGGTGGTCGCATGACAATTTTAAGTAAATGGTATCAGAATAATAAAACAGAATGAACGTTAACATTCTCAGTCATAGAGTACTTGGTTTCCCACTTTCAAGTTCGAAAGTACTGTTTCAATACAACATTAATTCAACCAAAAACGCAGGCCCAGCTCCTGAGAACCTTCAATGACGGTTAAACGTCCAGACATCGCATATAAATCTCAAGAGCAGGCTGAAGGATAAAAGCTTAAGATTTACAGTCAAATAACATCCCCATAAGTAAAGCCTCACTACTGCGTTTACAAATTATTCCTCGGCAAGTTGCTGTGGAACACGCAATTTTCAAGATGAAGCCTGAAAACGCAAGAGGCCCCCGGGCCGGTCTCTGGGCCCCAGCAAGTCCAGCCCGAAGGCGCGCTGGCAAAGGCGGCCGGTGTCCGGCAGCCACAGCGCGAGGGGCTGCGGGCGGAGAGCGCCTGAACGCACTCAACAGCTGAGAGCCGACCACGAAGTGTATCCACTGACAGCAGCAGAGATGGCGGGGAATTGGTTAAAACAAAAAAGTGATAAAAAATAAAATACGCGTAAGCCAACGGTCTCTGGCAACACCGTTCTCAAAAGAAAACTCAACCGCTTCGAAAACCCGCAGCTTTCCCTGACACCGGAGCAGACTCCCGGGGTCTTGTCCGTGAGCGACCCCGCGGGGACAGGACCCCCGGAGGGCTCGTCCGCGAGGTGACCCGACCCGCTGAGGGACCCAGAGAGCTCCCGCCCGTGCGCCCGCCCTGCCCGGGCCCGAGCCGTGCGAGCCGCCGGCTGGCGAGGCCGGATGGGCGGGGTACTCACCGCGCTCACGGTCCGCGCGCGGCAGCCGCCGCCCCGCCGCCTCCTCCTGGGCCGCGAGCGCACCCGGGCGGAGCCCCGCGCGCTGGAGCTGGGGCCGCCGCCGCCTCACCAGCCCCCTCCCGGCGCGCCGCCGAGCCGACAACCGCCACTTCCGGTGCCCATGAGGAAATGAGGCAGCCGCCGCGCGCGCGCCCGCCTCGCCAGGCCTGGCCCCGCCCCGCCCCCGCCCCGCCCTCGCCCCGCCCGCGCCCAGCGCCTGGCCTGGAAAGCTCTGTAATTGGCGTATAGAACTGATCATCCGTTGAAAGTGTGTGTGTGTGTGTGTGTGTGTGCCGTGCGTGTAGCTCAAAAAACGATTTGTGGAGGCCAGGAGAGTGCCTGAGGCAGGGAACTGCTCCTGCCCGAGAAAGCGTCTGCAGGGTACCTGCTCAGGCTGGACCCCTGACTTTGCAGGAGGAAGGGACTCTGTCCCGGATGGCAGCGCTGCCCTGCCCAGTAGCCCTGTCCTGGGAGCCCGAAGGGGCGGTGAGTGCCTGCGTGGGCACTGAGCTAAGCACTGACAGGTCGCCGGAGCTGTCAGAGCATCCTCCGGAGTGCTGAGCTGCGCATGAGGCCCTGGCAAGGGAGCCCTGAGCTGTTAGTGACCTTAGGCTAGTCACTCCATTTCTTTGGACCTAAGTTGCCTTATATGTGAAATGAGGGAGTTGAGGTAGGCATTCTGTAAAATGGCTTCAAGGTCTGACGTTGTATGATTTTAGTGAGTGGAAAAAAGAAAAGCCCTCCTTCACGTCTCCTCCACTCAACTGCTTATTGCAGGTACATCACCAAGGCACTTTGTCCTGCCCTGGGGAGTGACAGCCTGCAGTCAAGAGGATGCTGGGCTGCACCAGCCTCTGCCTGTGTCTGGGCAGGACATGGCGGTGCTAAGAGTGGCTCTGGAGTCACCTTCCACCTGGCTCTGCCTCTCATCAAGGTCTGCTTTCCTTTAAGGAGCTATGTGGGCAAATTATCTGGGCTTAGCCTCTCTAAGCTTGCTTCAGTTTCCTCAGCTGTATTAGGACAATAACAATAGCATGTGCTTCCTAAGATTGTTGTGAGGATTATACACAATTTTGTATTTGAAGTGTTTGGCATTGTCTCTCACAGGTGGCAGGCAGTTGGAGCCCATTGTCATCAAGTGCATTAATTAGAGCAGAAGGTTGGGGTGACTATGGGATGCATCCAGTAGAAGAGGCATTCCGGGAGGGGAGGATTTATTCCTAATCACAGCTGTCTTCATTGGATGATGGTTGTTGGGATATCTTTAATCCAGATGTTCTCCTTGGATATTGTCCTGTGGGAAATCCCATGAGTGAGAGAGTCTGGACAGCCTACTTATAAGCCAGGCTTGCTGAATATCCAGTCTTTTCCCAGCTTCAAAGTCTCCCTTCTCATGCCATTTCTGAGCACTTGTAAACATTTATAGGTCTAACACTCCTTCCCCCCAACCTGGCCCAAGAGTAAAGAATTCATCTAGTCATAGATTCCATGGGTCTGTGAGCTCCTGAAGATAAGGATCATGTCTTTTTCATCTCCCAGTACTTTGCACATAGTAAGTGTTCAATAAATGTGAATTGAATTGATTAAAATAAGAACATGCAAGGATTCCTCCCTTGTCCAGAGTCTCTGTCACTTTACCAGCTCCTTGAGCAGACGGCATGCCTGATTAAATTTACTGTCCGTCATGAGTAAGCTTTTTGTCTGGTTGGCTGGTTATGCTCTACTATGGAGATCAGACTTGTGTGAGTCTACTTAGTGTAAGTTAGTTCTCTGGAGTCTAAACCTGCTATGAGTGTTTATCCTGTAGGTTGAGGACCCAAGTTGGGCATGTGAATGCAAAGGTGAGGTATTCTCTCTTGGGAGAATTACAGAGTGAGGAAACTCTGGTAAATGGTACAGAGCACAGCATTGGTGGATATAAGAGGATAAAACAAAAGTTCTTTAAATACTTAAGGTGTTACTACAAGTAAACATAAATGGCAGATCACTGAACTATCAGAGGATTATGTTACCGGGTTGGCAGCTTTGAAGCTCTGAATTCGAGTCTAAGTCCACTATATGTCCTTAGTTAAGACGCTGTAATCAGCCCGTACTTGACATTCTGCTGATGGCCCTCAGGAAGTCCACAAACACAGGGGCATCTGGACCTTATCCTCTAGCCTCACATCCAGTAATGGCAAATGCTTCGGCTGCTCTTTCCTTCTGTTGTCCCTGAACACTTTAAATTGGACAGGACTGTCTACTCCCTGAGGGCAGGGATGTGGCCTCTCCTGTTCTCTCTGGCACCCCTATGCCAGGCATAGGGCCTGACCCATTATAGGTGCTCACTGCATACCCATGGATAAGTGAATGAATGAATGCTGGTAAATGCTACAGCTCTAACTGTTCTTTAGTGGGGGCCAAAGTGATGAAAAGATAAGTCTGTTCCTCCACTAACCAAATTCAAAACAGCCTCACTTCCTAACAAGCTGCAGTGTACAGTAGAACCACTCCGTGCCACATTAAACATTCTTTTCTTTGTCCTCCTCTGCTAGCCCTGTAAGTGCCGGGTGGGTTTTCTTTTTCATTTATAGCATTTGTTTTTCTCCCTGTATCCTCCATTTTCCTTATTGGCCATGCTGTGTAGCCACATCTGGCACAAATGGAGCATGCACTCAGCAGCGCGTGCTTCTCCCAGTGCTCCCTCTGTGTTCACCCTTTTAATCCTCTCAACCTCGCTGTGGAGTATGTTGTGGTCCTCATTTTACAGTAGAGGAAACAGAAGCTCAAACAGGAAACTGCAGAGGCTCTCCCAGGACAGGGCCTGACGTGAAACTGGAGCAGCAGGGGTAGGGCTAGTTGTCACTTCTTGTAAACTCTTATTTGAATCGTTCATTAGAATTGTTTTTACAATAATTGAGGTTCTGCCATCAATGGATTTCAATTTCTTAGCTTTTTATTATTTTTTAATTACTAGCTCAAATACTAAATGTATGTAATTTGAATTTGGAGAGAAGATAATGCATAATTCAAATTCTATGGCAGATAATGGGTGATTAACTGGGGCTTATAAAATACGTAATTCTCTTGGAGAAAATACTAAAGTATAATTGTGGTATGATTAACATCAGAAGAATGTAGTTTTATTTTTAAATTAAGTTTTTTCCCAAGAGTCTCCACTCTGAGGCTTTTTTTTTTTTTAACTGTAAAGCTTTTCCACTGCCTTAGCCTGCCTTTGAGTCTCTGCCAAGTGAAAGTGATGGGGGCTGACTCCCTTGCTATCTGTGAATAAATAGCATCTGCCTGTTTTCATTTGGGTGATCTTCATATGTCTCTACTGTTTTCCTGGTGGCCCCACCAGGATATGGTCTTCACTGCTTGTTGCCTCAAACCACAGCCTTTGATCAGGTGCGGTACCCACAGAGGCCCCTTGTGGCTTGCTGCTCTTGGCTTGTCAAGTCCGCAAGGATTGGGTAGGTTGACATTGGGTCTGACCTCTGGTCTCTTTGCATTGAGTTACTTGTTATCTATTCTCAGTTTGGAAGTCTGGTTTTGTTACTGATCCCCCTTTGTTTGGCATCTTTGATGGAATCAGGCCATTCCTGTCATCCCTTTTTGCTGTCTCTTGTGTTACTGTTTTGTGTGCTGTCTAAAAGTGTTGTTTGTCATGAAAAGAAGAATCATAGGGTCGAACACAGACATAGGCCATAGAACCCTTTTGCTTGAGCCAGCCTTACAGCCCTGTGAGTTTGGGGTTCCCACCGGACTAGCATCTGCAGTCTCCACTGTGTCTTCCTAGTGCCCAAATGTCCCTCTTCTTGTAAGGACGTCAATCATTGAATTAGAGCCCACTCTAATCCAGGATGACCTCATCTGAACTTGATTGCATCTACAAAGACCCTATTTTCAAATAAGGTTAAATTCACAGGTTCTGGGGGTAAGGACTTGAACACATCTTTTGAGGGACATAATTCTACCCATTATAGATGGCAACCTCATCAATTTCTAGTAGATTCAGTCTCTGCTTTTTCTGCATTAAACGCTGCTACTTTTGCTCAACCTTTTCCTGGGAGTAAATATACAATACAGGTGGCAAGCATTTCAAATAACCCACAGATTTTCTCTGTTTCCTAAACCTTAAGTGTAAGCCTTGAGACCTTGATTACAAAACATTCCTTCCTGCTCTGTGACACCACTTCTGCAAATTTAACAGGAAGAGACTTACTCTCCAAAATTAAATACACTCCAGAGTATTTGAGACTATTTGTGAGATTCCAGATGACTCCTCTGTTCATAAGCAAGTTGATCTGCTCTAGATCTCCCTTTGCCTTCTCCATTATACTTGATGCATACCCCAGATAACTATCTTGACACTGTACCTGACACTCTATGGGATAAAAATTCCACTGATATGGGAAACATAATTGGAGCAGAACTTATTAAAGTTCAGATCCTACCAAACCATTACCCAAACTTCCCCAATATCCCTTGAAGCCAGAGGCAGAGGAAGGCATTAAACCTATAGTTGAAAGCCTCATATCCAAAGATCTTTTCATACTCTGCCCTTGTAATACATCCATCTTGGCGGTAAAGAGACCAAGTGGAAGGGATATCCATTTGTTTAACACCTCAGGGCCATCAAGAACATTGTTATTCCTCACTTCCTAACCCAAATACCATCCTGCAAGCCACTTCTTGTAGTGAATCTTTGCTCAGCTTTTTTCAGTGTGCTTTGTATTGACAGAAAGTCAATAAATTTTTTTATGTGTTAATGGCCAAATATACACAACATAAAATTTACCATTTTAGCCATTTTTAGGTTTACAGTTCAGTGGCATTAAGTACATTCACATTGCCATGCAACCATCACCACTGTCCATCTTCAGAACTTTTTCATCATCCCTAACTGAAACTCTATACTCATTAAACACTAACTTCCCACTTTCCTTTCCCCCAGCCCCTGGCAACCACCATTCTCCTTTCTATCTTTACGAATTTAACTACTCTAAGTACCTCACATAAATGGAATCAAACAGTATTTGTCTTTTTGTGTTTGGCTTCCATTTCACTTAGCATAATGTCCTCAAGGTTCATCCATGTTGTAGCATGTGTCAGAATTTCATTCCTTTTTAAGGCTGAATAATGACTGTCAATATCTTTTTTGCCTTCACTGGGGAGAACAATAGTCCTCATGGACAGTCATGTCCCAGGGGTTCACTGAATCTCCCTGCTATTTTTACCAGGTCTTTAATCAAGACTTACATGATCTAAATTTCCCCTGTGATTCAGTTCTGACACAATATGTAGATGATCTCCTACTCTGCTCAGGGTAAAAGGATTCCATTTACTTATTCTCAGCCTTAGAAGAAAAGGGTCATAAAGTTTCAAAAGATAAATTACAGTTTTGCCAAAATGCAGTCCATTATATAGGGCATGGCCCATCTACAGAGGGAAAGACACTCTCTTCTGATAGACTAAAAACTATCCAAATCTATCCTAGACACCTCACAAAATGACATTTGAGAGGATTTCAAGGTTTAATGAGATATTGCAGACAATAGGTGCCAAATTTTTCTGCAATTGTGACACCTCTTTATCAACTGACTAATGCTTTGTAAGAGACTCTCTCCTCCAGGAGCCTAGAGATGAAGAGGCCTCCTGGAACCCAAAGGCAGCTCCTCAACGGCTTCCTTCCCTAGACATCCATAACAACAGAAAGCACTTTTGTCTATTTGTGTATGAGCAATCTGGACAAGCCCTTGGAGTTTTCTGGGAACCATCCAAAACCCAGCACTTACTATTGCCTTCTCCTGACCTGGTGCAAAGTCTTATCCCCCTAGTCTTAGGGCAAGTACTCCGCTGCAACTTTGTTGATGCTTCTGCTGAGCTGGTTCTAGGCTCCCTGCTTGACCTCATGGCTCTTCCTGCCGTACAGACATTACTACTGACTGACAACACAACACTTTTCAGGCAGCCAATTAACCTCTCATGAAATTCTATTACTCTGTCCCTCTCACATTCACTGCAGCAACACGCTGAATCCTGCCATTCTCTTTCCCCTGGCAGAAGAAGGGGAACCTCATGATTATGTTACTTCAAATAACTAGGGAACTCTCTGCACCTCACTCAGATTTATTAGAGTCTCCTATTGAGAACCCTGACCTAATACTGTTTGTTGATGGCTCATTCCTGAAACTGTAGTTATCAAGCAGCATGTACTACCACTAATTTAAGGTCTTCTTTAGAATATAGTCCTCTACTTGAGATAAAACCAGCCCAGATGGCATAACGTATTGCCTTTACTAGAGCATGTCAACTAGCCAAAGACTA